CATCTCGTTCTAGTTTCCAGTTTCATTCTGGTGAGAGCTGTCAGAACGGAATGCCAAATAGAACAGAAGACGAAGCAGGCGATCGCAGGTAGCGAAATTATTTTCTATTATGCAGAATCGAACAGATAAAGGTGAACAGATAACCAACCGGGTCCATAATTTTATGAATCTGTATCAACCAAAAAAAAGTTTTGCACTGACAAGCAGCACTCGTCCTCTCTCGTTTGCATGAATAATAAAAGTTATTATTTCAGTATGGGATTTGCCCACTGCGGCAAAAACTCTTTGCGAATAGTTTTTCCCTTCCAGCAATGAGAGATAGTTTGTGAAGAGACCGAATCATAAAAGACACGGGGAACTTTTTTTTCTGGTGCAAAAGAAAGTTCTTGTTTCATTTTTCCCTGTAAGATATTCGTTTTTTGCCAGGTAAAAAATCGACTGCATTCAAATATCAAGCCACAGCAATGCAAATGATAGAAAAGTGTCTGCGCCAGTGATGTCTGTGTGTTGTATGCCCTTTGTATCGTCAAACGAATTTACCATATTTTTTCTTCCTTTATTGGTGTGTCACAAACTTTCGAGACGGTTTCGGATTTGTTTGCATTTTAATGTCTCTGTGTGTGCATGTATGCATTGAGTAAACATTGCCTTGACTTTGACACAAAATTATCATCATTGAAGCGAGACATTGAAAACGAATTCGATTAGAAAATTGACACAAACACCACATCATAAAAAGAACGAGATGTGAAAACAGCGAGGCGAAAAAAAACGTGTTCCTGTTTGGGTAGGCCTCTTGTTGTTTCTGTTCTTTATTTTATTTTGTGTAAACAAAACATAAAATCTGAGCGCAATGAGCATTAAATATGCGTACAAGAATTATCAATAGAAAATGGGAATGGGCCTCATCGTCACGAACAACAAACCGCATGCATTCATATGCTCGCTCTCTGTGCGTATGTTGTTGTTTGGTGTATTGGGCCCATTGTGAATACACAGTATGCTTTGTTTTGTGAGCTGAATGGAAAGACAGATAAAGATAAACGAAAGAGATTTGTAGGTTCGCCTCTGCCGCAATACACTGTTCTCTGTCTGAGAGAGTAAAAACAAACTTGTTTGAAACGATTGCCAGTCCTAATAAAGTACTCACTGGCACTGTTGCCAGTCGAGCATACATGCACACACACACACACACTTTTGACAACATGCAGAAAGAAAGAGGGAGTGAGAGACGGAAAGAGAGATAGAATGAGAGGAGAGGCGTAAAGAAAGAGAATAGCCTAATCTCAAAAGCAATGCGGTTGCTGCTGTAGCTGCATCTCGGCTCTCATTTTTGTGATGCTTATTTTATGGTTCGTTTACCATTTCAATTGTAAACAATGTATACTATAGAGATTGGCCGGTCGGTCGGTCGTTCGTTCGTTCGTTTGGCAGAAAAACAAGTACAAAACAATGCTCGAGTTTTTGGCAGCATTTCCATCGATTCAATTTATTTCCATAGCCATCATTGAGCCCATTCAATTCACATACACATATACCCAGTCTTGGTCATAACTCCCCGGATTACGTAGTTCGCGCTGATTAGGCGCGCAATAATTTCTCATTAACTTTTGCTCTTGTCCTCGTTTGTTCGACTTCCATTATTATTGTGTGCTCATGTCGTGGTCATAAACAATGCCATTGGACTTAATTCATTCTCTTTTGGCGACACTTTTAATTTATACTGTTGCGTTGCCTCTGGGTGCTGCTATGCTGTTAGAAAAGTCTTTCGAAACATGTCGAAATGCTCTTAAGACTTTGTTGCTCAACTTTCCGATCGAAAGATAGAGAACGAAGGCTCGTATCATTTTTAGCAAACATGTCAAGTGGTTGCGACGTAATAATAAATCAAAATGCATTTGCTAAGTCACTTTTTAAGCCGCATTTCATGCAAGCACTGGAGACTATGAAGTGGTCTCCAAAGTGTGTAACACATTTTCAACTTTTCATCTACTTGAAAAATGATTAATCGTCTGAATGGCTCTGTTTCAAAAACAAAATCCGCAGCCAGACGATAAAAACCGCTTAGGATGCAGCACAAACGTGGAAGAAAAACAAACGACGGAAATGCGAGATAGCGATATGAACGGAGAGGTGTAAGAAACAGAAATTAATACGAATTCCGACATTTCCTTGAAACCCGCTAAAAACCATGATGCACGAGATGTGAGTATTTTGAAGCGGATTTATTTATCATGTGTAAAATACTAAGCACACACAATGTTCTATCACTCTCGTTAGATACAACGCATTTGTTCACATCGATCGAGTGTGGTCTTTTCCGTCTTCTTCATTTCATTCGTCAATTGAGAATGCAGTTTCATTTGTTCTATTCTGCTTCACAATTGACGCGGAACAAAACCCATCAACCCATAACGGCACACAATCTGCCAAATATGCGTTTGAATGTCAATTGGGATGTGTGTGTGTGTGGTTGTGTAAATCACATTGCCCTCGCAGCGACACGCACTGTCGATGATGTATTTATAACAATTTACTTTCTTCTCTCACTCTCTGATGCAACTCTCGCACTCGTACATGCAACGTATGAACGGCAATTTGAAATGCACACACAACCAACCGAACAGAATAGAAAAAAAAAAAAAAATAACCGACTTGACTAAACGGATGATGCTGATGATGATGAGCGGCAACAGCAGCACAAATAAAAGCAGATAAAGTTTTCGATGTCAGTGTCGCGCTTGTGGTATAGATGAATGCCATTTGTTAGCGCATTTGTGTCTCGCTGGCACAGAGAAAGAGAGCGACAGAGCTGATAATAATGTATGCAATGTACACATACGGCACACAACAAAACCGAAACCCATGTATATTCATTGCGGGCACAACGACACTTAGGACTTGACTTTGGCTTTGGATTCGGTTTTCAGTCGATGCATAACAGACGCCGTATCGAAGCCAATGTGTATATGGTGCGTGTGTTCGAGCGTGTTATCTTCCCGGAGGCATAAATTGGAGGGTTTAAACCGAATTTATATTTAAATTATTTTATAAATATAATCAGGCGATGCGAGGCAAGGCGGCCAACAACACACATTAAAAATTGGTGCTGCCGAGACACAGTGCTAGCAAACAGGGCACATGCTCGGTTATGAAAACAAGGAAAAAAAAGGAGCAAAAAGAACCAATTGAATGAAATGAAATTTACAGAGAAAAAAAACATTATTATTTTTTCACGCATGTCGGGGGCTGCGTATCGTCTCGTATTCACCAAACACTCGCTCGTTATTATTGCTTATAAAACGAATTTGTTGCTATAATTGCGCTGACATCGTATCAACACTCATCGTAGAATGTCTTTGCAGAACATTTACTCACACGTTTATTGCTGATCTCATTTGTTGATTTGAATTCGTTTTTTTGCGTTTGTCAAATTAACATCATATTCTTTAAATAAATTTATGCACCGTCAAAAATTCGACGACTGTTGCTGATAACACATTTTTCTTCGTAGCATTCAAAAACAGTCATTCAGTTCGTATATTTGTGTGTCACATTCGATAAGAAATTTAGTCTCTTTTTTTGTTCTTAAATTTTTGGTAACGTTTCGAGTCAGAAATGATGATGTTTCAAGTATTTAATGCAGTTTTTTTTACTTACATAACCGGTATTGTTTATCCAACGGCGACAAAAGAGACGTGAAGTGAAGCCCACGCAAGAAAATGTATTGCTTGATGATGTGATGTACGTTGCACACAAAAAAAAAACAAAAATGAACTGAATTCACCTCCAACCGACGTGGATCACGAACAACTTTTTTTTTCTCTTTCGAAACCAAAAATGAATACGCACAAATTTCCACCAATTCACTCGAGTTGACTTTTCGACCTTATTTTTTGTTTTCTTTTTTATTTACTTGCATTTTTTTGCTTCTTTATATTTGTGTGTCGCGAATGGTCGTTTGATTAATTAACACAATGACAGACCATATTCAGGTATGCTCTGTATGTATATATTATTTCGTTATGTTCGTCGATTTAATGCTGTTTTGCCCGAAGCACGAAATCGGGTTTCAATCAATTAACTGTTCGATGTTCTCGTACTTCTCGTATGATAATCGTATTGGAATTCCAATCAAACAGCCAAAATTAACCTTTCGACCGGATTTTTTTGTTGTTGATCGAATCGGTTTATGAAATTGTTGTGTTTGAAAAAAAAACATGTTTTGCGGCAGACAGACAAACCAACAAACGAAATATTATTTATTTAACCGTGTGCGTGAAGCACATGATGCTACTATTGCTGCTGTTGCTGTGGCTGCTGTTGGATTCGCATCCAAAAAAACAAATGAACGATGTTTTACGTATGTTTTCAAACAAACTCAATTTACTTTATGGAATTATCGATTTTCAGATTGGAAACGTGCACTGAATGGAATCATTGCCATTGGGAGTATTGGCCACCCTTATGTCATATATGTCAATGACTTTCTCTACCTCTATTTCGGTGTTCGGATGGCATTGAAGAGTGTAGATAAAACACGAAGAAGGCGCGAATTTTATTCGAATTTTGTCGCACATCAACAACCGAACGAAAAAAAAAAACTAATTTGATCGAATTTATGTGAATTTTATGCGACAATTTCGACAATCCCCTTGTGGAACACAATACGCACGCGAAAAATCCATCGAACTAATACATGTCAAACGAAGAAAAAAAAAATTGGAACATTGCCGAAAATGCATTTTGGCTGAACAATACGATGACGAAGAAAAACTTTATTCAAAAAAATGGCTTTGGAAGCTGTGAGAATTGAAACACCAGCAAATCTACGATGTCTGGCACAATACAGCCTCAGCACACAAAAAAAACTCACTTAATAGGCAAACACAAAAAACATAACACAAAAAACTATATCTTGTAACTAAAATCGATTCAAATGTAAGAACAACTATGAAGAGATGAAAAAAACAAACAAGCGAAAAAATTGGTACACACACCGAAATGGAATGACAGTTTAAGACACAAGACACGACAATGTAGTTTTTTAGATTCGATTCTTTTTTTTTTATTATTTCGACACGTTCAGCGACTGGTGAACAATGATGATCAGTTTCAATGTTTATTATTTATTCTTCTGTTTCAATTTCTTCTTCTCGGTATTAGAAAGTTCTTTGTTTTGTTTTGCGTCAAGAATGGTAAAAAAACAACCACTCGAATGGAGAAATCAATGCGAAATAAAAACGATACTTTCAAAACTGTTTTTGTTATTTTCTCAGTATTCACATTTAATAATAATCGAATTGTTTCATGAAGATTTGTATCATTTCATACATCGTCTCGTCGATATAATTTACACTTTTTTTGTTGGTGCACAGTTTCTTCTGTATCTCGACATAGATTAATCGCAATCGTTGATTTTCGTTTTATTTAGTTGCGGCGAACTTGAACTTTACTCGCACGAAGCTTTAATGGTTTTCCGTTTTTGAGAGTTTTTCCCCCGTTTCGGGCGGGTTTTGTTTATTGTTTATTCGGACTGTATGTGTGTATCTGTTTATTTGTAGCAATTCATTCAATTGCGCCGTTTTCAGTGAATCACCGTGGAATGAATGAAAATCACAACACTTCAATCATATCAGACGTAAACCATCTGAGCGATACCGTTAAACCGCAATGATAATTATATCATATTCAACTGTTTTTTTTTTATTATTTCATTCAGCCAAATCGTTTGTCATTCAACAATCGATTCGGAAAAAACAACACAAAAATCACTTTGGCCAATATACTCTGGTATTGTGGAGGACAAAAACACAAAAATAAAAACAGAAAATACAATAATTTTGTATTGCAACCAATTCGATAAAACTTTTTTACTCAATTTTTCATTCACTACCAATTTATTTGGAATTTTTCTGAATTTTTTTCTTCCCTTCTTTTGCTCTTTAAATTAACTTTTTTCTCGCTCAATCGCTGAACCGCCGCAGAACAACTCAACACAACACGACGGACATGTTGGTAACAACAATCGATAGAATATTTTACCAGAGCTCTCACTGCTGTTCTGCTCGACTGAAAGATTTTTGTCAATGAAGATCTCATGCGCAATGGATGGCTGTTGGGTTGCACTATTGTTTCTCTTACCTTCTCGCTCGCTCTTTCCTATCTCGATTGTGATGCGATGCGATTGTGTGTGTGTCTTATGTTATGATGGCACAACACCATCTGTTGGTCGGTTACGGTGCTAAAATGAGTTTGGACTTTTGCGGATTTAGACATAAATTCATCTTGTCTTTGTTATATTCTGTATACTTTATGTGAAAATAAGCACAACAAATCGAATGAAATACTTTCCATCTCAGATTCATTCACAAAATAGTCTTTGAAACATTGATTGAATTTTGTTTCCAAATCGTGAAAAAAGTGATTAAATTCGTGGAGAGTTTTCAGTTGACTGACACATGTATTTGGTAGAGACGCGCCTTCATTATTGGCATGGTTACTGCTGGTTATTGTCGACCCAAGCAACATTTTTGTTATGAATACAAACATTTTGCTCGTTCAAAGCACTCATTTTTTCAATCATTCATTCAAATATTTCTTTTGAAAATCATTTATTTAAATTGAAAAAGTCTCAAGCGCTTACCCAGAATCGGAGAGTAACATATTGGTTCACATAATTCTATTTTATCGTTTGGAAGAAAGATGCAGCTGCCATTTATTGGGATTTTAGTTGTTATGAAAGTCGGTATACTTGTGTTGGTGTTACATTCTCTCCACATTCGCACTCGACCGAGTACTAAAATCGAATGGCAATGTGACATCGCCTCTTTTGACAGTCAAACGCACATTGTTTTGTTTTCACTACGGCCGATGCTTCGATAATAAACGATTTACAATGAAGTGCCTGGAATGCTCTGATGATACAAGGAAATATAAATGTCCACGGTGCAACAATTTTTGGTAAGATTTTTGTTGTGAATTGGAGAGGATTTTTTTTAATTGAAAAAAAAAAATCATAAAACAGAATAAATGTTGTTCCAAATATTCCAGTTGTTCTTTCGAATGCTTCAAAAAACACAAAGATGTTGACTGTACTCCAGCGAAAACGGAAAATGAAGAAAAGTGCCAGAAAACCGAAAATGTTAAGAAAACAATACTTCAGTTCACCACAGAAGACACTGTTGATCCGGAGAAACTGGAACAATTAGGTATGGAATCCTTACTATGAATTATGAGTAAAGTAGATTTTTTTCATAAATTTTTTTCGCTTACATAGAGAATAAAGATTTCTTTTCTTTGATGATAAAAATGAATTTCTTCCCTTCTCACGAACTAAAAGTTGTAATCATTGCTTTCAATCAAATAGGCAACAGTGAAGCATTGAAGGATCTATTGAGAAATCCACACCTACGTGAATTTATTCGTGCCGTTGACTCGTCGGAGAATGCCCGCAAAGCAATGCGGTATGCGATGTTGGAACCACTGTTCATCGAATTTGCTGACGAATGTTTGAAGATTGTTGAGCCAGAAGAGACCACCAATACGTGATTTAGCTTAAGAAAATAGAATTTGTATAGGTTTCAATTGAAAAATGTATCATAAGTGGACAAATACATCATAATTGTGATTAAGCAAATATTTAAGACAAAGAAAATGGATTAAAAAAGAAAAAGAAAAATGAAAAAAGATTGAAACACAACAATTTTGAATCATTTGAAAAATACGTTATAATTTTTATTTCATTACAATTATTCGCCAAATAAATCAGAGAATTAAACGAAAAACCTCAGTTTCTAGCAATAAAATTAGGCAACGCCGGAGAAACGAGCACCAACTTGGTCGCACATATCGTCAATTTCGTCATCTGTTTTGAATTCGGCTGCCAAAATGGCATTTCCAACGGCAATTATGTCACGTTCTCGTCTTGCATTCACCCAAACTCGACCATTCATTCCGACCACAATTTCAACTGGCACTTGAATGTGTTTTTTAATCGATTCCAATAGTGGGCATTCAGTGCTTCGCAACCGTCGTGCCAAATTGATGCTACAATTGAACACAAAGCCCTCACGCAGAACGCCAAGTTTTTGCTTTTTCCCCATTGAATCGACGCAAATGAGTTCGGATTCAAAGTCTTTGTGGGCAACAAGTAATTTTGCAAACACCAAATCACCGATATTCACATCCGGACGATTTTTCTTCGTTGCACCCTCGAATGCCAGGTATGACAGAGCAGCCAGTTCATTTGAACCAATTTCCACACGAAATATATCGCCAGCTTTTTGCACCACCAATCCAATCACTGTTTCGCCTTTGCACGGAATGTATCGCTTTTGTATTGCATCCACCCAGAATGTGTTTGTTGACTTCTGTTTTAGAATTCCAGCTTTCGCTGCAAACACTTTCCCGTCTTGTTGTCGCAGACCCGGTCCCAATAACACTTTCCTTTTTGATTGCTCTGGCAATGGCAGCGTTAATTCATCTCCCGGCAAAACTACATCACCAACTTGATTCGTCATTTTGATACCTTTTCTTAGCCAGTTTAATCGATTTTTTTTGGATAAAAGTCTTAGTGCACGGCAAAAACATAAACAAATGTGCCGAACAAATGTTACAAGTGTCAAAGCTGTCAATCAGCTCATAACCTTACTTTGTTTATGCTACAGAACGACTACAGTGCCACCGTCATTCCAATCATATGAACAGAATATAAATGAAATATGAAAAGTTTTTTCAAATGATGAACTCGTTAAATAACTGCGAAATTTTCTGGAGACAGATTTTTTCGACAAATATTTATAATCCCATCTTTTTTTATTGCATTGAAACACATCAATGAAAATTTTCATGCAAACATTTTATTTAAAGAAAAAAAGATTGTAAAAATGGCTTAAAGCCGAAATGCCGTTAATTTGGCCTAATTTTTGTTTTGTTTGTTTTCTTTTTCTTTTTCTTTCGTATTTTTTCCGTATCGCTTTTTATCTTGATTAGATTTTTTTTAAATTGAGTCTATGATTCTCGAACCACTGTGTTCTTTGCCTTTTTATTGTGGAATATCATACGCATTTTTGTTATCCTACTTAGTTTTGATTCACGGAATCCAAATGTTAGCAGCATTCATCGGCAATGCACCTCTCATCAGAATGTCACCAATCACATTACGCACATGTTGGGTAGCTTGGTTTGCATCTAGACCAATTTGGAAAGCATTTTCATCTAGTCCCATTGCGATACACAAACCATAAGCCAGAGCAAAGACGAATTCATCTTCCCGACGAGTTGCGATCAATCCTTGTCTATATGCGGTGTATTCGAGTGCGTTCCAGTCTGGTTTGTCATACAAATCAGCAATCATTCGTTTATGGTCAATGTTGAGTTCATTGCTACTGAATTTCCACGCATTGACTCTTCTGTCCTCTCTTTCTTCGGCGTCCACATAGTGGAGACAAACCCAGCTATCGTGAGCACGGTCTACCACTATGCGAATTTCAATCGGCAAAATTCGATGAATTGCTGCCAAAATGATTTGAATGTGCTCATTCAACAAATTGCCTTGACGTATGAACACTCCGACGGCCCCGAGGAACAAACGAGGACTAAATGAATAAGAAGAACAAAATAGCAAGAAAAATTTAGTTGTATTCTCTTAAAATATTCCTCAAATCATAAACTCAAATTTGTTTAATAGTTTCTATTAATTCAGATGTGCCTTGAACCAAAGTAACAATTTCGTCTTTGATTTTGTTATTTCTTGCTAACCGTTGATTTTCTTGATTCTGTGGATCCATTTCCCAATCAGATTATTGCCAATTTTGTCAAAATGATGCAAACCAACTTGAATGACTTGTGAAATTGTGTGTTGCTTCGATTTGGATGAACTGTCAATTCGCAACTAGCGACTGGCGCGAAAAACCGCAAAAATGAAATGGTCCACTTACAAAACGTCAACAATTCGTCCGAATCTCTTCCGTACTATCACTTCAATTTGCAGTTTTCTCATTTGCAATCACTTGACACATTCTAAACTGTAAACAAACGGATCCATCGATTAGGATTGTCAACATCAAAGCAAAAGATTTCCGTGAAAAATGTTCGTTGCTACCGTGTTACAGCCAGTGAAATTTTATCGCCATTTCCCATCTTCATGTTGGAATTTATGTTTTGGACGTTGAACTCTCTTCGGTCATTCGTATTGTTCGCGTTGCAAAGTGATTATCGTACGAATTAAGTAAAAAAAAGAAAGTGCGACAGAGACGATCATAAAAAATGGTAATATTCTATTTATTCATTAATTGAAACATCATTAAATATTTAGTTCACGAATTGAATCGAAGTGAAAGCGAAAATGTTTATATGGATTAAATGCAATGAAATTGGAGCTATAACAAAAAAAAATGTGTTCCAAACTAAGGTAGCGCTATAATTTGCATTTATGTGACAATGGAATCAGAATATTAAAACATTTCGATTATGATTCTGTGGTCGTTCGTTTGACGCTATGCATAGGCTTGTCGATGTTCATGTGACGCAGTCTTTCTCCTCAACTTTCAACAAATCAAAACCCAAAACAATTGGTTTTTAAATGTCGTTAGAAAACTGTACGCATGTCGACGCATAGGAAGTGGCCATCAATTCATACATAAAATCAAACTAACTTGTTGTTATTCCGTGTGGTGTTTGGAGCATTTTCTCTTAAAGCCACTTAACTAAGAGGATGTGGCTTTTCAGCGGTTATCTATGATTCGTGTAATTTACACCTAATGAAAACACTGTTAGGTAAACATAAAATAGTCAATGACTTGTTTTTTTTTCTCCTTCAAAAAGTCATACATGCGAACATTTGTTGAAATTCATGTGGTGACGGCTGATGCTGAATTTATTACCGTAGTCACCGCAATCAGCTTACAAAAGATGTGACAAAATCAAAACAAATGAGATACAGCTTATCAGACATGATAGCACGAAGAGCCGCACGGCGACGATGCAACAACTACCGTCAATTGTCTAAACACTAGGCGCACTTTGGTGGTGATGATCGCGTGTAGGAGACACCAAAGCAACAGAAATGAAGCACAGAGGAAGCGATAGAAGAGGCAACCGATATGAGGCACTAAAGTAGGAACAATGGTGAACACGATTCACAAATACACGTTTAACTGCGAGCTAAAGTTTTCGCGCCGTACGACTCCGTTGTTATTGTTGCTGTTGTTGCGAGTTGTCGTGGCCGCGACTGCTGATACATAACAATTGCGATTTTTATTGTCTTTCACTAGAATGCATTTGGCTGAAGCAGTTTTCAGTTTTCATTCAGTCGGTCAATCGAACAGAAGAGACGTGTTGTGCGCATAATCGATAATTATTATTTACACGGCGAACCGTTGAACCAAAGTGTGATTGATTTATTATTTGTGGCGTTTCAATTGGCGCAAGTTGTTTGAATTAAGGTGCATTGGATCAATCGAACATATATATTGGAAATCGCGTTTCGAAATCGATTTGCTTTTTTCTCGCTTAAGTGTTCGTATCAACAGTTGATTGTTTTGGATTTTTGTGAAAATTTTCAGGTTTTATTGAGAAAAAGTGGTTATTCGAGAGAGAAAATGGAAAATTTTGAACTTTTCTCCCCTTATTTTGAGCCAAATCACAATCAATTTGATTAATTAAAGTGCCATCTGCCAAGTATATTTACCTGTGGGTATTCATTCCTGGAACGGTCATGAAAAATCTTTGAAATTATTTGAATTTGAATGTGAATCAAAATCAGAATTTGAAAGTATCAATATTTCGAAATATTGAGAGTTTAATGAAAATTTTCAACCAATTTCCCGAATCATTTTCACCGTAAATTTTTCATATCACTAAAATGAGTCAGTCGAACAAAATTATTCTGGAACTAATGACTCACTCAAAGAAAACTGTTTGAAAGAAAAAACTTTTGCAGAATTCGTGCTAAAAATGGATCAAAGCCCCGATAAGTTCCAGAAGAATGAAGAAGAGAGTTGTCAAATAAATAACGTAAATTCTTCGTGAATCTCTGTGAGAAGCACACAGAAAGTGAAGAGCTAACTCGGTTAATTTTTGAATTGCATTTTCGAAAGAACATACCGTGGTATAGTCTTGAGATCAGGGAAAGTTTTTTTGTTATATTATTCATACATAAAAAGTAATACAATGACACTGAGCTCTCTGCACGAAAGTAAATTTTATTTGTTTCTGCATATTTCTCCATTTCTTCTGTCGTGTGTCTCTCTCTCTCTCTCTCTCTGTGCGTTTTTTTCTGTTATTTATTCATTCAAATTTGCGAATGAGATATGTTTCACACAAATACATACGCTACAAAAGTCCGGAGTGCATCTTCTGGTGGCTCCAGAATGAAGACACAAGAAAAAAAAAATTGAAGTAAAAAAAGCGCGTGATCAGCATGTCGCCGAGAGTAAGACCAAAGATAAATGATCAGAAACACGAACGAAGGCCAATGTTGCATCGTCTTTCCAAAGATTCTTCTTTTTTCGCTTCTTCTCTCTCTCTCCTTAAATAATATGCATCCAAACACACTCGGAAAGCCCTACATATCAAAATCTATACGATTTCCGTATAGTCGCGCACATGCACCTCAAACTTTTGTTTACATAAAGAAGAAAAGGAAAATTTTTGCTTTCATGCACAACTCTCGTCTCGTTTCATTTTCAAATTTATTTTCGATTTTCTTCTTCCGATGGCGAACTAATAGATGTTTGAGCCCAAACTCAGTTCCATGTTATTGTTGTGTGTAGTAATTTTGTTTTTTGTTATGTGCGCGCGAGAGAAGAAACGGTGGAAGCGACGACTTTCATTATTTGCACAATGCACCGACTTCAATATTTCAGTTGCCAAACACGAACACTCAATTTGCGATGTTCATTTGCCAGCCGTGTCAACGAGCGAAATATCTTCATATGTTTGCCTTCTCTCTCTCTCTCTCTCTCTCTCTCTCTCTCTTTCTGTTTGAGTTCCATGCATAGTTTTCATGTCATAAGGTCGCACACACTTCATTTCTTTGTTTAAATTTGCAGCATTTCCATCGTACGGCAGCAAAAGGCGAAGCGAAAAAAAATCCACGCAACTGAAAAAAAAGAACAACCAACAGACAAATAAAAAAAAAACATTATGAGCTTCTGTCAAAGCGTTCGATATGCGCTCGGCATATATGCGATTTGCTTTCTTTTGAATGGAATTTCATCGGCCGAAGACAGTGTACGGGAGCAGTACGCAGCAGCATCGTCACCATCAACCAAAGCAACCATTGAACCAGAAGGTAAGATATAATTAACGCGTGTGAGATGCTTCATTTCAAATTGCATTTCAATTAATTAAGTTTTCGTTCAGGCAATGCGAGTGCGATTGCATGCGCCACAAATTGGCAATCGAAAATCATTAAACACAATCTTGAAAAAGTTGAAAAAAATCGCATAAAAGTGAATTCATTTTAAGCAGAATGACCATTTTCTTGTGTTTGCATTGTTGTTGTTTTTGTTTCGAGATGTTCTGCTGATTAATCTCTGCTTGTTCATTCTGTGAAACGACCAAATTAATAATAATGCACGTTTCGTGCTCACGAGCTCTGGCTGTGCCATGAACACAGCGAGTTGGATGAAAGAAGCGATCGACAACAAATTATACGACCATTGCAATAAAATAATCACCTCCATTTATGTCTCGCGATCAGCGATCTGACGAACGGTCAGACAAGTGGCCGTGCAGCGCGCACTGCACACACTGTTTGATAAATTGCGGCGATTTTTCTCCATAAAAGTCACAAAAATATACGTGCATTGTTGGGTTTCATCTTCAATTGAATTGTATGCTGTGCTACGGTCGTGCTGTGTTGATTTGTTTCGTTATCTAAGTGTTCGTTACTGCCAAATGCAGACGGAAAATTACTAGAGAGAGTTTTCATTCCAGGAATAGACAGCGAGTACACACTGTGTTGCCATTGAAGCGGCAATCGATTGAAATATAGTGAATGAATGCATTTTTATTTGGAACATGATAAATGATACTGTGATAAAAAAAATACGTACACAGACACAAACGAACTAACACATACGGACATTGCATCTATTGCAACGTATAATATGACATTTAATGACAAAAACATGTATTACTCAAAACGGAGACGCGTTTGATAAATACTGAAAAGTTGGACGATCGCTTTATTAGGTTCATCAATTGAGTTATCAATAGATATGTACACATATTGTCCGCAATGACGAATCTTCAAGCCACGCACTCACTTTTGTGGCGTCATATTCATACAGTGATGCGTTATATCCACAAAATTCAATGATTTTAATTCACTGTCATCATATAACTTTTAGAGAAATTATTTTTTCGAAAATTACGACCAAGACAACGACGACAACAGTTACTATTTGAATGAATTTTATGACAGTACAATGATTACGGCTTGATTTCCTCCTTTCTTTTTCTTTCTTACTTGTTTCTTTCGTCTAAGATGAATCAATGTTTCCATCGTTAAAATCTATTTCCAGGATAAAAGTTATGGGGAATTTATGCACGAATGAACCATTTAATTGGATAAAATACAATGAAAATGAAAATGAACTGGAATAATTCATGCAAATACAGTAGAAACTTGGAAATTCTTTATTTATTACTTCTAGACTATGTCAATTTTTTCTATTATTACTCGTTTTTGAATTTCAATTTTGCAGGTAGAGCATTGTTCAATCCACGTGTCGACTACAATCAATGGACTCCCGTTGGACACGCCGATCCATTGAAAAATGATCCAACATTCGATTACGTTCCACCGACATCGGTCAGCGTTCGGTATTGGTCTGAAAGTAGTGAAGGCAAGAGCAACAATGACAATGCAGCCGCTAACAATACAGTTGACAAAAGTGAAATTCTTCTGCTTGGAGCCCCAGTGGAGCATTCGGTTCATGTGCAATCGAATCATTTGCGACAACCCGAAGTGAAGTCGGCCAATCGACGTTCATCGCCTTATTTTCCACCAGAAGTATGATATTATTATATTCCCAATAATGTTTTTTTCATGAAAAAAAGTGTAAAAATGTTTCACTTTTTTGTTTATTTATTTTTTTCTTCAATTCTTTTCTCCATTAGTTCCACTTCTCCACTCTTCTATTCTCCATCAATTTTCAAACTTCATTGTAATTAATAAAATGTTCTTTTTTTTAGCCATCCCGTGTCTTAACGCCACCATCCATGCAGGCTTACATGTCATCGTACGACCAAAGTGCTCATCCTTCAGAATACAATTACTATGCAACACCACCGAGCAACTATTGGAATAATGATTTGCCAGTATCGCACTCAAGTGATGCCTACCCTGATGAATCGGCGAGTTATGTGACGGTCATTCGACCAAAAACCAATCCACACCCATATTCGTCGACAATTTACAATAAAAATGTTCGTAATTCGATTTATCATTTGGCGGCAAATGTGAATTCATTGGAAATTGAAAAGAGACCGCACTGGGTACAGTCATTGCTGCAAAAAGAGGTCACTTACCAGCCACCATCAACCACTCCATCAGTGGTCTTTGCCTACTCGCCGCACATATATGAGCCGCAATCAACGAATCTGAATATCAAAGTCGAAGCTCCGCCAAAAGACACATTGAGTATTGAACACTCATTTGCCGAACCAACTACTGCTACTCCCACTCCGACGATTATGACTACTGATTCGCTGTTCTCACATTACAATCAGCCGGCTCTTCCTGTACGTGGTCCCATGTACCTCATCATTCAGGGTCATTCCAAGGTCAAAACATATGGTGCCGATCAATATGATAAAAAACCGGAAAAACATGAACCAAAAATGGTTCCAGTTACGGTCAAAGACGATCTAATCGTCAAACATTTGGTATCAACGGATCAAAATGGAAATGAATTCCAGGTAAAACACTTGCATAAATTGCATACACCTGAAGTAAAAACCAAAACAAGCTCAACCAAAACGACCAAAAAACCATCCAATTCTCCAATGATGGACAGTCTTTTGAGCTTGTTGGACACTTCATGGGCTAACTTTGGGATGAATAATAACAAAGACGACAAAACCAAATCAAATGATTTGAAGAAAACCACCGAACGAACAGCATCGAGTATAACAAAAATATCGAGTATAATGGGCCCAACGACTATTCGACCGAATTCCAGCAGCTGAAGAGCTAATTCAAATAGATTTATTTATTTATTGTAGACTTAATGAAAACAAAAATAGTTGAATGAATTTTTGATTTTGGATTTGCTTATTTTCCGAGTAAATGTTGACCTGTAAAATAAAGAGTAAGTTTTGAGTGTAAAGTAATTGGACAAAATTCGTAAATAAAAAAATTCAAAACAAACTCCGTACATTAACACTAATCTCTCTTTATTGATTTTTTTTTGATCTGATTCATCGATACAATAGATAATTATGGGGATTTTTCTTTAAATTGATTGCGTAATCGTTTTAAAATATCTGAAAAACATTCATTTAATTCATTTGTTGCATACCTCGAGCATGCTTTTGTATCTTTGCCAAAAATGGTTCTGTACTAAGCTGAAAAAACTTAGCTAACAATTTAAAATACATTGCGCCCCTCAAGCCATCTAGATGGCGCCACAAGAAAATTTGGTTCTTATACGAGGTGTATGCTGTTTCAATTGAAGGTACGTGCCGTTGTGGGTCATGTTAAACATTCTTGTTTTCTGCTACAGTAAATAGTGTGACTTTGTTTTTTGTCGCTCAACATCCACTATTCTAAATCTTTAATGTGAACTTTATATAAATATTTTTCTTTGTTTATATCGTGTGATTTTTTTTTGCATTTTTCCAAATATTCGTAAAAATTTCAAACGATTTTCTGACTATGAAACTTCGAATCTCGTCGTTTATTTTTTTGATAAAAATACCGAAAGGGAATAATCAGGTAAATTGTTTGCATATTCTATATTTAGTTGTGCAGCACATATTGTGCTTTATAAATTTTTATTTTTTAAATCAAATAGTTTTTGAAAGTGAATCTGGTGTTTTTTTTTTCTTTTTTGAAAATAGTCATGCAAAATAGAATTGAATGGTTCAAGGTCATTGAGAGCTGATTCATACTTTTGGATTTGCGAAAAATTTGTTTTTTTTTCTCGATATTTTACGAAAATAATATATTTTTACGCGAAATATATTTTAAAAGAATATTCATTTATGATCAAAAGTTCATTTCACAAGAATAATCATTTGAACCGTTGCGAGTAAGAGGAGAACTTAATCGAAGTGTGTAGATAGAGAAATATGCATACCTTCGTACGCAGAAGAGAAACATGTTGTTATTGAAATTACAGCCAAAAAAATCGAAATGTCGCAGTATAAACTGTCTCATTTGCGAACAAGGGCAGCTTTTGCGTACACTTCGGTTAGGTTCGCCTTCTACTTATGAATAGTTGGTTTATGGTTTGATTCTCGCTTTTGATTCACGCTTTTGATTCACGGACATAGCCAAGTAATACATTCCTTCCTCTCAAATGACCAGTGCCGTCGACTCAATTCTCTATAGTGTGAATTTTTCATCAGGTAACCTGGTTCAGGTTTATTGGTATTCCAAGGAATAATAATAAAATTTGACACTCTGTATTGTTAAGCCATTTCAAAACCTAATTCATTTTGCCACTTTTGTAATTTGGAGTGAAAGTCATAATTAATTTGTATCACAGGTAAACATCTTTAAAAAAACAACATGAATCATTTCTTAAAAATAAAGAATCTTCGGTGTAGATTATTTTGTCACTGCACATCTGCTTTTGATTTAGAAATTTGTCGAAATTAAAATAATAGGACAATCAAAGTCTAGATCAAAGTATTCTTCGTGTGAAGAATTTTTCTTTACAATTCAAACTAAGCTAAACAAAAAAAGAAATCATTCTAATTCATGAATATCCCATGAAAAACTTAAAATGTTATCAGCGCCAAATCAAAATGTCCAATTGATTAATAGGACATTTTTCGGAAATTATTTGGCGCAACTTCAAAAGGTTGCATTTGCAAAATTAAACAATTGAATATTTTTATTGTATCGAAAACAATTTGTATTCAAACTAAGATCCTGGTCTAAGGAGGTCATAATTCTAATTCACTTAAACGATAAAACTTAATAGAAAAAATTGTTGTTTTGATTTTGAGGTTTTATCGTGTATTTTATTTAATAGAAAAAATTGTTTTGATTCAACAAATGATACACTTTATTGAGTTACACTCAGATGTACATTTCGGAAGCAATGCTTCCATCCTCAGTGAGTTTGAAATATCAACTAGCGTTCACTCAAAAATTCATGTGACATAAAAAGCAATGGATATAAAATTGAAAAGTTATGAATTTGACTTTGTTTCCAAAGGTTACCGAAATTATTTTAACTACAGAAAATGTTTAAATATTGGCTCTTTAATCGGCCCATCATCACCATTCAATAAATTGTCTCTATTTTTATGAATTAAAATTGCCTCATTTGCATCTAATTCGCTGCTTTTGTTTACGCTTCTTATTAACTTTAAACTATTTAAACTGATTGTATGGCCCGTTTCTAGTATATGTTGTGCTACGCTTGATTTTAAAGGCTCATTATTTTTTATATGATTACAATGTTCTTTGTATCTTTTCAAAATTGCTCTCTTACTTTGGCCAATATATTCTTTATTACAAACTTCACATTTAATGCTGTAAATACCCGATTTTTCGCAAAATTTAATTTTATCTTTAGATCCGCCAATTATACTTTTTAAATTTAAAGGATTATGTTCGGCCAATTTTATGTCATATTTGTGAAAAATTGATTTTAATTTACTTGAACATGATGGATTATATGAAAAACCCTTCCAAATTAAATCATTATTAGTGTCATCACGAATTAAATTTAGTGTTGTATGGTTTCGTAGCTCTTTTTTCCTTATATGTGACTTTAAAAGATCGTCAATCAACTGTTCAGTATATCCATTTACGTTAGCAATTTGTTTGATTAGTTGAATTTCTGTATTGAATCTCTCTTCCTTGAGTGGTACGTTCACAGCTCTAAACAACATTGAATGAAAACTCGCGATTTTATGCTCGAATGGATGATGTGAATCGGAAGTGATGTATCTATCCGTAGCTGATGGTTTACGATAAATATCATATTCCAGTTTCGATCCATTCCTTGTTACACACAAATCGAGAAAGTTCAATTTTCCATCTTGTTCTTCTTCATGTGTGAATTTTATAGTTGGATATTTGGTGTTGTTTAATCGTTTAAGCAGGCTCCTCAATTGATGTTTTTTGATGATTGCATAAACATCGTCAACGTATCTTAACCACACACGTGGAAATATGCCCTCTTTCTTCAGCGTTGTCTCGAAATGTGACACGAATAAATTCGCCAAAAATGGACTCAAAGATGATCCCATGCTGCAACCAAAGTTCTGACGATAGTATTTATCATTGAACCGGAACCAATTTTCGTCCATGCATATTTTTGTCAATCGTACTAGCTCTCTTACGATAAAACTTAACAAACAAAATTGGATTACATCGTGTATGGCATATAATATGTAATTGTTGTTCGGATGGACCATTATCGGGCAAAATCAAACAAACGCGTTTACGATTTGTGAAAAAAAGGATTTTCAAAACACAAAGTTCTTTCTATAGTATAATGTGGTGTAGATTCGAAGCACATGAATATGAAACACTTGTAAATGTGTAACGCGGTTTTGTTTCTCAACCCGCAATGGGTTTCAGATTGGTCTCGCGCTCTCTAATGCTCTCGATGATTAAGCGATTGGCCCACAAATGCTTGTAAACTAAAGTATCGATGTGAATCGTTTGCGGTGACACTGGTCACATGTGAAAACTGGCACGGTTGCGAAATCTGTGATTTTTGCGGCAATGGTGCCGGCTTGGGACGTTTTTGTTGCTTACGCTTGCGTCCCGGTACACTTAGTGCAATATTCTCGGGATCGCTAATCAATCGTTCGATACCGGTCCATATCTCGTGTGCCGCTTCATTCGAATCAAAACTGAAGCCAATTACTTTGGTGTGATCTGAAAAATTGTTTGCATATAGACACATGGTTAGACACATTGAAATTGACGTTGTATTTGTGAGCTATTTAATGACACTTACCACTTGATAAACACATTGTGTGGAATGCCGGTCCGGCAACACGGTATGCAGATAAATTGTCAATCGTATCTTGCCATAGTGCAAAGCATGAGCCACGCTCGGCTAAAATAAATGTCACACGTGGTACATTTCTGGAACGAGCTGAACCTTTGTCATGTATTAAAACTGGTACGCCGGTGTATTTTAAGCGCCAATCACTTTTGTTTACAGTCTCGTATAAGTTGGCAAGTGATGGACAGACATACACCTGAAAGAAAGAGTTGTTGTTTAGTTTCTTGTTTTAATTCGCCTGAATGTATACAATCAATAAAGCCATCAATTTTGAGTCGACACGTGTGCCGGAACAAAAACATGTACTTCGCAAACAATATCGAGATGCGCAGTGTTCATTCAATAAATTTTCTATGTATGTGTGCTCATTTCCAGAGAGATGAGTTTCATGAGTGATTCATCCGTTTGAATCACGCTCGCCTTTCGATTGACTTGAATGATTCTTGGAATTTGCCCGTTTTATCAGTGCGAACATGATTGCAGGTCTTGCTCTATTTGAGCACTGCATTGTGCGCGGTTTCAATGTCTAATATTTATTTTAGATTATATTTTTCTATTCGATTTCATTTTGAAATTCGAGCACGTTTGTGGTCGTTTGTTTTTTTTACCTTCTCTTCGCAAAGCCGATAGAGAGAGAGAGAGAGAGAGAGAGAGAGAGAGCCAATGGCTGAAGTAAATGTGGTTACTCATAACAAACGGAAAGATTTCAAATTTGATACGCTTGCGATCGTGTGTTGGGCGCGAGAGGTGTAAACAATGGAACTATATTTGAAATTAAGCAAACGATTTTCACAGGTAATGCAAACAATTGGCGCTGTTGTGTAAGTCTCACTCTCGCCATTACATTTTCTACCGATGAAATACACTCATTCCAACGAAATGGCTGAGTTGGTACAGAACACTTATTTATGAGATGTTATTTTTATCTCTCTCTCTCTCTCTCTCTTCATTTCCATTTGACTTCTCGTTCGATTTTCGTCGAAACCGACCGTGAATTCGCATTTTCTAGACACATTTTGTTCTAGATGATTTCTCCTTCAAATCATTTCTGATTATTAGTTTGAAATATGCAACACCATATACGGCAATAATTGAACCAGAAATGGCTTAGAAAATGCATTCATCAAACACCGAGAGAAAAAAGTGATGTATTTGCTCGTTTTGAATACTGTTCCAAACAAAGTTGAAGTGATCTTAGTTCGAATGAATGAACGAACGAACGAAATGAAGGTGAGACCATAAACACTGATGACAATAAATACTTGACGGCGTGTTAATAATTCTTGATTCACGTTAATGGATGTTTATGTGTGCAAAAGCCACAAAATGGATGACACACTGTTTATATTTACGTGTGACAACCGAGATAACATAGCATAGGCAATAATGGCATTCAAAGTTCGAACCATAGAACCATATTTTAGTTGTTGTTGTTGTTGTTTTCCGCTAAAATTATTCTTTTCATACAATGATTCATATTGTTTCCGGTATGGTTCTCACGCGCTTGATTTGCCAAGTGACACGTTGTTGTTTCGCATCAGATTGAATGTTCTTGAATCATAATTATTGTTTATTGGCTTTACCTCCGTTCCAAGACCGCTGAAAAAACTTTCAACTTGAAGTCGTTCGTTTTCGTTGATTGCACCGCCTGTGTCTGGGCTTAACATGTGCATATCGCTGGAACCCGAGTAAATGGAGTCGTTGGTCATGATTTGTTGTTGATCAGTTTGGTGCCAGTCCGAACCCTGTTCAAATGTTTCCGATGTCGATCCGTCGGATGTTTCACTTGGCGGTGCACTGTCACCCACCGAACTTAATCTCGATCGAATCTTCAGTGTGACGGACATATTCTGTAATACGTAGAAGAAAAAAAGGAATATAAATTTATCAGTTTAATTGGCAAAAAAACATGTTTTGATTTCAATGGAATTATTTTATGGGGAAATTTACGCGATAAAAAGGTTACACCTAAAAATATCGACACATTCAAAAATTTGCATTCGTTTGATCGATAAATTCGAATACACTCAACATGGAGTATAATTGGTTTGTGGTAGGTCGTTCTGGTTTTTTCCCTTCTGGTAAAATATTGAATTTCCTACGAAAAAAAAAAAAACGAGAACCAGTTGCTATGGCAATCGACTTATTTGTTAATGACATTACTGGTTGCAATGGGAAATCAGTACGGCTCCTCATTTGATTTTATTACCGTCAATGATTCTCCATTTCTCAAACAAATTATCCCTATCTGTCAAGTGTTTGTTCAAGGTTTATACGCCGTAATTGCCCCAGACGCACATTACTCGCCCAATGCTACAATTCAAATGTGATTGCATCATACACGGTGTGTGCCTAGATCATATATATATATTCAACAAGGAGACATTTTTCTGACATTGAAAATATTCTGTGTTTACGTTTTGTATGCACGCGTCTTGACTTAAATCATTTAAAAACAGTGCAAACACTTTATCGACTTAAATGATTATCGTTTTTTTTTTCATTTCGAAATGAACGTTTTTTTTTCTTCTGTTATAAGAGAAATCAAATAAAAAATCATCATATATCAAAGTGTAAATATGAAATGTGACATCCACATTTCAATTATACTGATACAAATCATCCGAGTTGGCTATTGCGTCATAGCGACGCGGTAAATTTATTTACTCATAAGATAAATCATAAATCACAAATGGGATTATTTGGGAGTTATCAAGATCGACATTCAAATGTGAAATGCACAACCATTGATATTTGATTATTAAAGAAACACAAACATCAAATGCATAGTAGGCTGGGTCTATTTTTATTCCACTTGCCAAAAAATGATGCAATGGAATAATCAATTTGTTTTGGTCGGTGCTTTTCGCGCACTTATTTTCTTTGCTTGCTTCACAAGCCAAATGGGCTTTTTTGGAGTGCTTATTCTCTCTCTCTCTCTCTCTCTCTCTCTCTCTCTCTCTCTCTCTCTCT